CAATGACCACGTCTACCCAGGCCAGTTCATCTCCTACTGCTCATGGAAGTGCCACCTCGCCTTCAAATTCTCCCAGTGACGGAAGCACGCTATCAATCACCAGGCTTGACACCACCACACTTGGGGTCACTACGGAGGCCAGCACCCTGTCAACTGCTCCTGTTGACACTAGCTCACCGGTGACCATGTCTACTCAGGCCAGTTCCTTCCCTACCACTCCTGAAGGGGCCACCACCGCTTCAACTGCTCCCTTCAAAGGAAGCACACCATCAACCACCGAGCCTGCCACCACCACCACACCTGGGGTCAGCAACTTGTCAACCCCTCCTGCAGGCACACGTTTACCAGTGACCACATCTGTTCACGCCAGTTCCTCCCCTATTGCCCCTGGAGGCGTCACCACGTCTTCAACTGCACCCAGTGGAGGCAGCACGACATCAACAGCTGGGCCTGCCACCACCACACCTGGGGCCACTACTGAGGTCAGCACCTTGTCAACCCCTCCTGAGAGCACCAGTTCACGGGTGACCACATCTACTCAGGGAAGTTCCTTCCCAACCACTCCTGAAGTGGCCACCACAACGGCAAGTACTCCCTTTAAAGGAAGCACACCATCAACCACCAAGCCTGCCACCACCACCACACCTGGGGCCAGCACCTTGTCAACCCCTCCTGCGGGCACCAGTTCACCGGTGACCACATCTACTCAGGGCAGTTCCTCCCCTACCACTCCTGAAAGCACCACCACCTCTTCAACTGCTCCTGGTGGAGGAAGCACGCCATTAACCACTGAGCCTGCCATCACCACACTTGGGGCTACTACCGAGGCCAGCACCCTGTCAACTGCTGCTGCTGGCACCAGCTCAGTGGTGACCACTTCTGCCCAAGCCAGTTCCTCCCCTATTGCTCCTGGAGGCGTCACCACGTCTTCAGCTGCACCCAGTGAAGGAAGCACAATATCAACAGCTGGGCCTGCCCCCACCACACCTGGGGCCACTACTGAGGTCAGCACCGTGTCAACCCCTCCTGTGAGCACCAGTTCACTGGTGACCATATCTACTCAGGGCATTTCCTCCCCTACTGCTCCTGGAGGTGCCACCACATCCTCAACCGCTCCTGGTGGAGGAAGCACCCCATCCACCAATGAGCCTGCCACCAGCACACCTAGGGCCACTACCGAGGCCCGTAGCCCATCAACCGCTCCTGCCGGCACCAGCTCTCTGGTGGCCACGGCTACTCAGCCCAGTTCCTCCCCTATAGCTCCTGGAGATGCCACCAGGCTTTCAACAGCTCCCAGTGGAGAAAGCAGACCATCAACCACCGAGCCTGCCACCCCCACAACTGGGTCAACTACTGAGGCCAGCACCCCGTCAATTTCTCTAGAGGGCACCAGCCCACTGGTAACCACGTCTACCCAGGCAGGTTTCTTCCCTACCACTCCTGGAGGTGCCAGCACCCCTTCACCTGCTCCTGATGGAGGAAGTACGCCATCAACCACCGGGCCTGACACCCCCACACCTGGGCCCACTACAAAGGCCCGCACCTTTTCAACCACTGCCGTGGGCACCAGCTCACCAATGACCACGTCTACCCAGGCCAGTTCATCTCCTACTGCTCATGGAAGTGCCACCTCGCCTTCAAATTCTCCCAGTGACGGAAGCACGCTATCAATCACCAGGCTTGACACCACCACACTTGGGGTCACTACGGAGGCCAGCACCCTGTCAACTGCTCCTGTTGACACTAGCTCACCGGTGACCATGTCTACTCAGGCCAGTTCCTTCCCTACCACTCCTGAAGCGGCCACCACCGCTTCAACTGCTCCCTTTAAAGGAAGCACACCATCAACCACCGAGCCTGCCACCACCACCACACCTGGGGCCAGCACCTTGTCAACCCCTCCTGCAGGCACACGTTCACCAGTGACCACATCTGTTCACGCCAGTTCCTCCCCTATTGCCCCTGGAGGCGTCACCACGTCTTCAAGTGCACCCAGTGGAGGCAGCACGACATCAAGAGCTGGGCCTGCCACCACCACACCTGGGGCCAGCAACTTGTCAACCCCTCCTGCAGGCACACGTTCACCAGTGACCACATCTGTTCACGCCAGTTCCTCCCCTATTGCCCCTGGAGGCGTCACCACGTCTTCAAGTGCACCCAGTGGAGGCAGCACGACATCAAGAGGTGGGCCTGCCACCACCACACCTGGGGCCACTACTGAGGTCAGCACCTTGTCAACCCATCCTGAGAGCACCAGTTCACCGGTGACCCCATCTACTCAGGGAAGTTCCTTCCCAACCACTCCTGAAGGGGCCACCACAACTTCAAGTACTCCCTTTAAAGGAAGCACACCATCAACCACGGAGCCTGCCACCACCACCACACCTGGGGCCAGCACCTTGTCAACCCCTCCTGGGGGCACCAGTTCACCAGTGAGCACATCTACTCAGGGAAGTTCCTCCCCTACCACTCCTGGAAGCACCACCACGTCCTCAACTGCTCCCGGTGGAGGAAGCACGCAATTAACCACTGAGCCTGCCACCACCACACCTGGGGCTACTGCCGAGGCCAACACCCTGTCAACTGCTTCTGCTGGCACCAGCTCCGTGGTGACCACTTCTGCTCACGCCAGTTCCTCCCCTATTGCTCCTGGGGGCGTCACCATGTCTTCAGCTGCACCCAGTGGAGGAAGCACGATATCAACAGCTGGGCCTGACACCACCACACCTGGGGCCACTACTGAGGTCAGCACCGTGTCAACCCCTCCTGGGGGCACCAGTTCACCGGTGACCACATCTACTCAGGGCAGTTCCTCCCCTACCACTCCTGAAAGCACCACCACCTCTTCAACTGCTCCTGGTGGAGGAAGCACGCCATTAACCACTGAGCCTGCCATCACCACACCTGGGGCTACTACCGAGGCCAGCACCCTGTCAACTGCTCCTGCTGGCACCAGCTCCGTGGTGACCACTTCTGCTCACGCCACTTCCTCCCCTATTGCTCCTGGGGGCGTCACCACGTCTTCAGCTGCACCCAGTGGAGGAAGCACGATATCAACAGCTGGACCTGACACCATCACTCCTGGGGCCACTACTGAGGCCAGCACCGTGTCAACCCCTCCTGTGAGCACCAGTTCACTGGTGACCATATCTACTCAGGGCATTTCCTCCCCTACTGCTCCTGGAGGCGCCACCACATCCTCAACCGCTCCTGGTAAAGGAAGCACGCCATCCACCAATGAGCCTGCCACCAGCACACCTAGGGCCACTACCGAGGCCCGCACCCCATCAACCGCTCCTGCGGGCACCAGCTCTCTGGTGGCCACGGCTACTCAGCCCAGTTCCTCCCCTATAGCTCCTGGAGATGCCACCACGCTTTCAACGGCTGCCGGTGGAGAAAGCAGACCATCAACCACCGAGCCTGCCACCCCCACAACTGGGGCAACTACTGAGGCTAGCACCCCGTCAATTTCTCTAGCGGGCACCAGCTCACTGATAACCACGTCTACTCAGGCAGGTTTCTTCCCTACCACTCCTGGAGGCACCAACACGCCTTCAACTGCTCCTGCTGGAGGAAGCACGCCATCAACCACCGGGCCTGACACCCCCACACCTGGGCCCACTACAAAGGCCCGCACCTTTTCAACCACTGCCGTGGACACCAGCTCACCAATGACCACGTCTACTCAGGCCAGTTCCTCTCCTACTGCTCATGGAGATGCCACCTCGCCTTCAAATTCTCCCAGTGCAGGAAGCACGCCATCAATCACCAGGCTTGCCACCACCACACCTGGGGTCACTACGGAGGCCAGCACCCTGTCAATTTCTCCTGTTGACACCAGCTCACTGGTGACCATGTCTACTAAGGCCAGTTCCTTCCCTCCCACTCCTGAAGGGGCCACTACAACTTCAACTACTCCCTTTAAAGGAAGCACACCATCAACCACCGAGCCTGCCACCAGCACCACATGGGGGGCCCCTACTGAGGCCAGCACCTTGTCAACTTCTCTTGTGGGCACCAGTTCACCAGTGACCACATCTACTCAGGGCATTTCCTCCCCTACCACTTCCGGAGGCGCCACCACATCCTCAACCGCTCCTGGTGGAGGAAGCACGCCATCCACCAATGAGCCTGCCACCAGCACACCTAGGGCCACTACCGAGGCCCGTAGCCCATCAACCGCTCCTGCGGGCACCAGCTCTCTGGTGGCCACAGCTACTCAGCCCAGTTCCTCCCCTATAGCTCCTGGAGATGCCACCACGCTTTCAACGGCTCCCAGTGGAGAAAGCAGACCATCAACCACCGAGCCTGCCACCCCCACAACTGGGGAAACTACTGAGGCCAGCACCCCGTCAATTTCTCTAGCGGGCACCAGCTCATTGGTAAGCACATCTACTCAGGCAGATTTCTTCCCTACCACTCCTGAAGGTGCCAACACCCCTTCATTTGCTCCTGCTGGAGGAAGCACGCCATCAACCCCCGGGCCTGACACTCCCACACCTGGAGCCACTACAAAGGCCGTCACCTTTCCAACCACTGCCGTGCACACCAGCTCACCAATGATTACGTCTACTCAGGCCAGTTCCTCTCCTACTGCTCATGGAGGTGCCACCTCGCCTTCAGCTTCTCCCAGTGCAGGAAGCACGCCATCAATCACCAGGCTTGCCACCAGCACACCTGGGGTCACCACGGAGGCCAGCACCCTGTCAACCGCTCCTGTTGACACCAGCTCACCGGTGACCATGTCTACTCAGGCCAGTTCCTTCCCTCCCACTCCTGAAGGGGCCACCACGGCTTCAACTGCTCCCTTTGGAGAAAGCACACCATTAACCACCGAGCCTGCCACCACCACTACACCTGGGGCCACTACTGAGGCCAGCACCTTGTCAACCCCTCCTGTGGGCACCAGTTCACCCGTGCCCACATCTACTCAGGGCAGTTCCTCCCCTACCACTCCTCGAAGCTCCATCACATCTTCAACTGCTCCTGGTGGAGGAAGCATGCCATTAACCACTGAGCCTGCCATCACCACACCTGGGGCTACTACCGAGGCCAGCACCCTGTCAACTGCTCCTGCTGGCACCAGCTCCGTGGTGACCACTTCTGCTCACGCCACTTCCTCCCCTATTGCTCCTGGGGGCGTCACCACGTCTTCAGCTGCACCCAGTGAAAGAAGCACGATATCAACAGCTGGGCCTGACACCACCACACCTGGGGCCACTACTGAGGCCAGCACCGTGTCAACCCCTCCTGTGAGCACCAGTTCACTGGTGACCATATCTACTCAGGGCATTTCCTCCCCTACTGCTCCTGGAGGAGCCACCACATCCTCAACCGCTCCTGGTGGAGGAAGCACGCCATCCACCAATGAGCCTGCCACCAGCACACCTAGGGCCACTACCGAGGCCCGTAGCCCATCAACCGCTCCTGCGGGCACCAGCTCTCTGGTGGCCTCGTCTACTCTGTCCAGTTCCTCCCCTATAGGTACTGGAGATGCCACCACGCTTTCAACCTCTCCTGTTGGAGGAAGCACACCACCAACCACCACGCCTGTCACCACCACACCTGGGGCCACTATGGAGGCCAGCACCTTTTCAATCGCTGCTTCAGACACCAGCTCACTGGTGAGCACGTCCACTCAGGGCAGTTCCTCCCCTACCACTCCTGGAAGCACCACCACTTCCTCAACCACTCCCAGTGGAGGAAGCACACCATTCACCACCGGGCCTGCCACCACCACACCTGGGGCCACTACCGAGGCCGGCACCCCTTCAACAGCTCCTGCGGGTACCAGCTCTCTGGTGACCACGTCTGCTCAGGCCAGTTTCTCCCCTGCCATTCCTGGAGATGCCACCACGGTTTCAACCAGTCCCGGTGGAGAGATCACGCCAGCAACCACCAGACCTGCCACCACCACACCTGGGGCCACTACCGAGGCCAGCACCGTTTCAACCACCCCTGCTGGCACCAGCTCAGTGGTGACCACTTCTCCTCATGCCAGTTCCTCCTCTACTGCTCCTGGAGGCGTCACCATGTCTTCAACTGCACCCCGTGGAGGAAGCACAGTATCAACACCTGGGCCTGACACCACCACACCTGGGGCCACTGCTGAGGCCAGCACCACGTCAACCACTTCTGCAGGCACCAGCCTAGAGGTTACCGAGTCTACTCTGGCCAGTTTCTCCCCTACAGCTTCGGAAGGGGCCACCAACCCCTCAAAAGCTCCCGGTGGAGAGAGCACGCCATCAACCAGCAAGCCTGCCACCACCACATCTGGGGCTGCGACCATGACCAGCACCCCATCAACTGCTCCAGTGGGCACCAGCTCACTGGTGACCACCTCTACTCAGGTCGGTTCTTCTTCTACTGCTCCTGGAGGCGCCACCTCGCCTTCAACCTCTATGGGTGTAGGAAGCACGGCATCAGAAACTGGGCCTGCCACCACCACACCGGGGGCCACTACCGAGGCCAGCACCCCGTCAACTACTCCTGGGGGCACCAGCTCACTGTTAACCATGACTTCTCAGGGCAGTTTGTCTCCTACTACTCCTGGAGGCGCCACCTTCCCTTCAACCTCTCCCGGTGCAGAGAGCACGCCATCAACCACCGGGCTTGCCACCACCACACGTGGGACCACTACGGATGCCGGTAGCCTGTCAGCCACTCCTGTTGATACCAGCTCACCAGTGACCGTGTCTACTCAGGCCAGTTCCTTCCCTACCACTCCTGGAGGGGCCACCATGGTTTCAACTGCTCCCTTTGGAGGAAGCACACCATCAACCACCAAGCCAGTCACCACCACACCTGAAGCCACTACTGAGGCCAGCACCTTGTCAATTTCTCCTGTGGGCACCAGTTCACCAATGACCACGTCTACTCAGGGCAGTTCCTCTCCTACTGCTACTGGAGGTGCCACCTCGCCTTCAACTTCTCCCAGTGCAGGAAGCACATCATCAATCACCAGGCTTGCCACCACCACACCTGGGGTCACTACGGAGGCCAGCACCCTGTCAACTGCTCCTGTTGACACCAGCTCACCGGTGACCATGTCTACTCAGGGCAGTTCCTTCCCTCCCACTCTTGAAGGGGCCACCACGGCTTCAACTGCTCCCTTTGGAGGAAGCACACTATCAACCACCGAGCCAGTCACCACCACCACACCTGGGGCCACTACTGAGGCCAGCACCCTGTCAACTTCTCCTGCTGGCACCAGCTCAGTGGTGACCACTTCTACTCATACCATTTCCTCCCCTACTGCTCCTGGAGGTGTCACCATGTCTTCAGCTGCGCCCAGTGAAGGAAGCATGATATCAACAGCTGGGCCTGACACCGCCACACCTGGGGCCACTACTGAGGCCAGCACCGTGTCAACCCCTCCTGTGAGCACCAGTTCACTGGTGACCATATCTACTCAGGGCATTTCCTCCCCTACTGCTCCTGGAGGAGCCACCACATCCTCAACCGCTCCTGGTGGAGGAAGCACGCCATCCACCAATGAGCCTGCCACCAGCACACCTAGGGCCACTACCGAGGCCCGTAGCCCATCAACCGCTCCTGCGGGCACCAGCTCTCTGGTGGCCACGGCTACTCAGGCCAGTTCCTCCCCTATAGGTACTGGAGATGCCACCACGCTTTCAACGGCTGGCGGAGGAGAAAGCAGACCATCAACCACCAAGCCTGTCACCACCACACCCGGGGCCACTATGGAGGCCAGCACCTTTTCAATCGCTGCTTCAGAAACCAGCTCACTGGTGAGCACCTCCACTCAGGGCAGTTCCTCCCGTACCACTCCTGGAAGCACCACCACTTCCTCAACCGCTCCCAGTGGAGGAAGCACGCCATTCACCACCGGGCCTGCCACCACCACACCTGGGGCCACTACCGAGGCCAGCACCCCGTCAACCGCTCCTGCTGGTACCAGCTCTCTGGTGAGCACATCTGCTCAGGCCAGTTTCTCCCCTGCCATTCCTGGAGATGCCACCACGATTTCAACCAGTCCCAGTGGAGGAATCATGCCAGCAACCACCAGGCCTGCCACCATTACTCCTGGGGCCACTACTGAGGCCAGCACCCCGTCAATTTCTCTAGCGGGCACCAGCTCACTGATAACCACGTCTACTCAGGCAGGTTTCTTCCCTACCACTCCTGGAGGCACCAACACGCCTTCAACTGCTCCTGCTGGAGGAAGCACGCCATCGACCACCGGGCCTGACACCCCCACACCTGGGCCCACTACAAAGGCCCGCACCTTTTCAACCACTGCCGTGGGCACCAGCTCACCAATGACCACGTCTACTCAGGCCAGTTCCTCTCCTACTGCTCATGGAGATGCCACCTCGCCTTCAAATTCTCCCAGTGCAGGAAGCACGCCATCAATCACCAGGCTTGCCACCGCCACACCTGGGGTCACTACGGAGGCCAGCACCCTGTCAATTGCTCCTGTTGACACCAGCTCACCGGTGACCATGTCTACTAAGGCCAGTTCCTTCCCTCCCACTCCTGAAGGGGCCACTACAACTTCAACTACTCCCTTTAAAGGAAGCACACCATCAACCACCGAGCCTGCCACCAGCACCACATGGGGGGCCCCTACTGAGGCCAGCACCTTGTCAACTTCTCTTGTGGGCACCAGTTCACCAGTGACCACATCTACTCAGGGCATTTCCTCCCCTACCACTTCCGGAGGCGCCACCACATCCTCAACCGCTCCTGGTGGAGGAAGCACGCCATCCACCAATGAGCCTGCCACCAGCACACCTAGGGCCACTACCGAGGCCCGTAGCCCATCAACCGCTCCTGCGGGCACCAGCTCTCTGGTGGCCACAGCTACTCAGCCCAGTTCCTCCCCTATAGCTCCTGGAGATGCCACCACGCTTTCAACGGCTCCCAGTGGAGAAAGCAGACCATCAACCACCGAGCCTGCCACCCCCACAACTGGGGAAACTACTGAGGCCAGCACCCCGTCAATTTCTCTAGCGGGCACCAGCTCATTGGTAAGCACATCTACTCAGGCAGATTTCTTCCCTACCACTCCTGAAGGTGCCAACACCCCTTCATTTGCTCCTGCTGGAGGAAGCACGCCATCAACCCCCGGGCCTGACACTCCCACACCTGGAGCCACTACAAAGGCCGTCACCTTTCCAACCACTGCCGTGCACACCAGCTCACCAATGATTACGTCTACTCAGGCCAGTTCCTCTCCTACTGCTCATGGAGGTGCCACCTCGCCTTCAGCTTCTCCCAGTGCAGGAAGCACGCCATCAATCACCAGGCTTGCCACCAGCACACCTGGGGTCACCACGGAGGCCAGCACCCTGTCAACCGCTCCTGTTGACACCAGCTCACCGGTGACCATGTCTACTCAGGCCAGCTCCTTCCCTCCCACTCCTGAAGGGGCCACCACGGCTTCAACTGCTCCCTTTGGAGAAAGCACACCATTAACCACCGAGCCTGCCACCACCACTACACCTGGGGCCACTACTGAGGCCAGCACCCTGTCAACCCCTCCTGCGGGCACCAGTTCACCCGTGCCCACATCTACTCAGGGCAGTTCCTCCCCTACCACTCCTCGAAGCACCACCACGTCTTCAACTGCTCCTGGTGGAGGAAGCACGCCATTAACCACTGAGCCTGCCATCACCACACCTGGGGCTACTACCGAGGCCAGCACCCTGTCAACTGCTCCTGCTGGCACCAGCTCCGTGGTGACCACTTCTGCTCACGCCACTTCCTCCCCTATTGCTCCTGGGGGCGTCACCACGTCTTCAGCTGCACCCAGTGAAAGAAGCACGATATCAACAGCTGGGCCTGACACCACCACACCTGGGGCCACTACTGAGGCCAGCACCGTGTCAACCCCTCCTGTGAACACCAGTTCACTGGTGACCATATCTACTCAGGGCATTTCCTCCCCTACTGCTCCTGGAGGAGCCACCACATCCTCAACCGCTCCTGGTGGAGGAAGCACGCCATCCACCAATGAGCCTGCCACCAGCACACCTAGGGCCACTACCGAGGCCCGTAGCCCATCAACCGCTCCTGCGGGCACCAGCTCTCTGGTGGCCTCGTCTACTCTGTCCAGTTCCTCCCCTATAGGTACTGGAGATGCCACCACGCTTTCAACCTCTCCTGTTGGAGGAAGCACACCACCAACCACCAAGCCTGTCACCACCACACCTGGGGCCACTATGGAGGCCAGCACCTTTTCAATCGCTGCTTCAGACACCAGCTCACTGGTGAGCACGTCCACTCAGGGCAGTTCCTCCCCTACCACTCCTGGAAGCACCACCACTTCCTCAACCACTCCCAGTGGAGGAAGCACACCATTCACCACCGGGCCTGCCACCACCACACCTGGGGCCACTACCGAGGCCGGCACCCCTTCAACAGCTCCTGCGGGTACCAGCTCTCTGGTGACCACGTCTGCTCAGGCCAGTTTCTCCCCTGCCATTCCTGGAGATGCCACCACGGTTTCAACCAGTCCCGGTGGAGAGATCACGCCAGCAACCACCAGACCTGCCACCACCACACCTGGGGCCACTACCGAGGCCAGCACCGTTTCAACCACCCCTGCTGGCACCAGCTCAGTGGTGACCACTTCTCCTCATGCCAGTTCCTCCTCTACTGCTCCTGGAGGCGTCACCATGTCTTCAACTGCACCCCGTGGAGGAAGCACAGTATCAACACCTGGGCCTGACACCACCACACCTGGGGCCACTGCTGAGGCCAGCACCACGTCAACCACTTCTGCAGGCACCAGCCTAGAGGTTACCGAGTCTACTCTGGCCAGTTTCTCCCCTACAGCTTCGGAAGGGGCCACCAACCCCTCAAAAGCTCCCGGTGGAGAGAGCACGCCATCAACCAGCAAGCCTGCCACCACCACATCTGGGGCTGCGACCATGACCAGCACCCCATCAACTGCTCCAGTGGGCACCAGCTCACTGGTGACCACCTCTACTCAGGTCGGTTCTTCTTCTACTGCTCCTGGAGGCGCCACCTCGCCTTCAACCTCTATGGGTGTAGGAAGCACGGCATCAGAAACTGGGCCTGCCACCACCACACCGGGGGCCACTACCGAGGCCAGCACCCCGTCAACTACTCCTGGGGGCACCAGCTCACTGTTAACCATGACTTCTCAGGGCAGTTTGTCTCCTACTACTCCTGGAGGCGCCACCTTCCCTTCAACCTCTCCCGGTGCAGAGAGCACGCCATCAACCACCGGGCTTGCCACCACCACACGTGGGACCACTACGGATGCCGGTAGCCTGTCAGCCACTCCTGTTGATACCAGCTCACCAGTGACCGTGTCTACTCAGGCCAGTTCCTTCCCTACCACTCCTGGAGGGGCCACCATGGTTTCAACTGCTCCCTTTGGAGGAAGCACACCATCAACCACCAAGCCAGTCACCACCACACCTGAAGCCACTACTGAGGCCAGCACCTTGTCAATTTCTCCTGTGGGCACCAGTTCACCAATGACCACGTCTACTCAGGGCAGTTCCTCTCCTACTGCTACTGGAGGTGCCACCTCGCCTTCAACTTCTCCCAGTGCAGGAAGCACATCATCAATCACCAGGCTTGCCACCACCACACCTGGGGTCACTACGGAGGCCAGCACCCTGTCAACTGCTCCTGTTGACACCAGCTCACCGGTGACCATGTCTACTCAGGGCAGTTCCTTCCCTCCCACTCTTGAAGGGGCCACCACGGCTTCAACTGCTCCCTTTGGAGGAAGCACACTATCAACCACCGAGCCAGTCACCACCACCACACCTGGGGCCACTACTGAGGCCAGCACCCTGTCAACTTCTCCTGCTGGCACCAGCTCAGTGGTGACCACTTCTACTCATACCATTTCCTCCCCTACTGCTCCTGGAGGTGTCACCATGTCTTCAGCTGCGCCCAGTGAAGGAAGCATGATATCAACAGCTGGGCCTGACACCGCCACACCTGGGGCCACTACTGAGGCCAGCACCGTGTCAACCCCTCCTGTGAGCACCAGTTCACTGGTGACCATATCTACTCAGGGCATTTCCTCCCCTACTGCTCCTGGAGGAGCCACCACATCCTCAACCGCTCCTGGTGGAGGAAGCACGCCATCCACCAATGAGCCTGCCACCAGCACACCTAGGGCCACTACCGAGGCCCGTAGCCCATCAACCGCTCCTGCGGGCACCAGCTCTCTGGTGGCCACGGCTACTCAGGCCAGTTCCTCCCCTATAGGTACTGGAGATGCCACCACGCTTTCAACGGCTGGCGGAGGAGAAAGCAGACCATCAACCACCAAGCCTGTCACCACCACACCCGGGGCCACTATGGAGGCCAGCACCTTTTCAATCGCTGCTTCAGAAACCAGCTCACTGGTGAGCACCTCCACTCAGGGCAGTTCCTCCCGTACCACTCCTGGAAGCACCACCACTTCCTCAACCGCTCCCAGTGGAGGAAGCACGCCATTCACCACCGGGCCTGCCACCACCACACCTGGGGCCACTACCGAGGCCAGCACCCCATCAACCGCTCCTGCTGGTACCAGCTCTCTGGTGAGCACATCTGCTCAGGCCAGTTTCTCCCCTGCCATTCCTGGAGATGCCACCACGATTTCAACCAGTCCCAGTGGAGGAATCATGCCAGCAACCACCAGGCCTGCCACCATTACTCCTGGGGCCACTACTGAGGCCAGCACCCCGTCAATTTCTCTAGCGGGCACCAGCTCACTGATAACCACGTCTACTCAGGCAGGTTTCTTCCCTACCACTCCTGGAGGCACCAACACGCCTTCAACTGCTCCTGCTGGAGGAAGCACGCCATCGACCACCGGGCCTGACACCCCCACACCTGGGCCCACTACAAAGGCCCGCACCTTTTCAACCACTGCCGTGGGCACCAGCTCACCAATGACCACGTCTACTCAGGCCAGTTCCTCTCCTACTGCTCATGGAGATGCCACCTCGCCTTCAAATTCTCCCAGTGCAGGAAGCACGCCATCAATCACCAGGCTTGCCACCGCCACACCTGGGGTCACTACGGAGGCCAGCACCCTGTCAATTGCTCCTGTTGACACCAGCTCACCGGTGACCATGTCTACTAAGGCCAGTTCCTTCCCTCCCACTCCTGAAGGGGCCACTACAACTTCAACTACTCCCTTTAAAGGAAGCACACCATCAACCACCGAGCCTGCCACCAGCACCACATGGGGGGCCCCTACTGAGGCCAGCACCTTGTCAACTTCTCTTGTGGGCACCAGTTCACCAGTGACCACATCTACTCAGGGCATTTCCTCCCCTACCACTTCCGGAGGCGCCACCACATCCTCAACCGCTCCTGGTGGAGGAAGCACGCCATCCACCAATGAGCCTGCCACCAGCACACCTAGGGCCACTACCGAGGCCCGTAGCCCATCAACCGCTCCTGCGGGCACCAGCTCTCTGGTGGCCACAGCTACTCAGCCCAGTTCCTCCCCTATAGCTCCTGGAGATGCCACCACGCTTTCAACGGCTCCCAGTGGAGAAAGCAGACCATCAACCACCGAGCCTGCCACCCCCACAACTGGGGAAACTACTGAGGCCAGCACCCCGTCAATTTCTCTAGCGGGCACCAGCTCATTGGTAAGCACATCTACTCAGGCAGATTTCTTCCCTACCACTCCTGAAGGTGCCAACACCCCTTCATTTGCTCCTGCTGGAGGAAGCACGCCATCAACCCCCGGGCCTGACACTCCCACACCTGGAGCCACTACAAAGGCCGTCACCTTTCCAACCACTGCCGTGCACACCAGCTCACCAATGATTACGTCTACTCAGGCCAGTTCCTCTCCTACTGCTCATGGAGGTGCCACCTCGCCTTCAGCTTCTCCCAGTGCAGGAAGCACGCCATCAATCACCAGGCTTGCCACCAGCACACCTGGGGTCACCACGGAGGCCAGCACCCTGTCAACCGCTCCTGTTGACACCAGCTCACCGGTGACCATGTCTACTCAGGCCAGTTCCTTCCCTCCCACTCCTGAAGGGGCCACCACGGCTTCAACTGCTCCCTTTGGAGAAAGCACACCATTAACCACCGAGCCTGCCACCACCACTACACCTGGGGCCACTACTGAGGCCAGCACCCTGTCAACCCCTCCTGCGGGCACCAGTTCACCCGTGCCCACATCTACTCAGGGCAGTTCCTCCCCTACCACTCCTCGAAGCACCACCACGTCTTCAACTGCTCCTGGTGGAGGAAGCACGCCATTAACCACTGAGCCTGCCATCACCACACCTGGGGCTACTACCGAGGCCAGCACCCTGTCAACTGCTCCTGCTGGCACCAGCTCCGTGGTGACCACTTCTGCTCACGCCACTTCCTCCCCTATTGCTCCTGGGGCGTCACCACGTCTTCAGCTGCACCCAGTGAAAGAAGCACGATATCAACAGCTGGGCCTGACACCACCACACCTGGGGCCACTACTGAGGCCAGCACCGTGTCAACCCCTCCTGTGAACACCAGTTCACTGGTGACCATATCTACTCAGGGCATTTCCTCCCCTACTGCTCCTGGAGGAGCCACCACATCCTCAACCGCTCCTGGTGGAGGAAGCACGCCATCCACCAATGAGCCTGCCACCAGCACACCTAGGGCCACTACCGAGGCCCGTAGCCCATCAACCGCTCCTGCGGGCACCAGCTCTCTGGTGGCCTCGTCTACTCTGTCCAGTTCCTCCCCTATAGGTACTGGAGATGCCACCACGCTTTCAACCTCTCCTGTTGGAGGAAGCACACCACCAACCACCAAGCCTGTCACCACCACACCTGGGGCCACTATGGAGGCCAGCACCTTTTCAATCGCTGCTTCAGACACCAGCTCACTGGTGAGCACGTCCACTCAGGGCAGTTCCTCCCCTACCACTCCTGGAAGCACCACCACTTCCTCAACCACTCCCAGTGGAGGAAGCACACCATTCACCACCGGGCCTGCCACCACCACACCTGGGGCCACTACCGAGGCCGGCACCCCTTCAACAGCTCCTGCGGGTACCAGCTCTCTGGTGACCACGTCTGCTCAGGCCAGTTTCTCCCCTGCCATTCCTGGAGATGCCACCACGGTTTCAACCAGTCCCGGTGGAGAGATCACGCCAGCAACCACCAGACCTGCCACCACCACACCTGGGGCCACTACCGAGGCCAGCACCGTTTCAACCACCCCTGCTGGCACCAGCTCAGTGGTGACCACTTCTCCTCATGCCAGTTCCTCCTCTACTGCTCCTGGAGGCGTCACCATGTCTTCAACTGCACCCCGTGGAGGAAGCACAGTATCAACACCTGGGCCTGACACCACCACACCTGGGGCCACTGCTGAGGCCAGCACCACGTCAACCACTTCTGCAGGCACCAGCCTAGAGGTTACCGAGTCTACTCTGGCCAGTTTCTCCCCTACAGCTTCGGAAGGGGCCACCAACCCCTCAAAAGCTCCCGGTGGAGAGAGCACGCCATCAACCAGCAAGCCTGCCACCACCACATCTGGGGCTGCGACCATGACCAGCACCCCATCAACTGCTCCAGTGGGCACCAGCTCACTGGTGACCACCTCTACTCAGGTCGGTTCTTCTTCTACTGCTCCTGGAGGCGCCACCTCGCCTTCAACCTCTATGGGTGTAGGAAGCACGGCATCAGAAACTGGGCCTGCCACCACCACACCGGGGGCCACTACCGAGGCCAGCACCCCGTCAACTACTCCTGGGGGCACCAGCTCACTGTTAACCATGACTTCTCAGGGCAGTTTGTCTCCTACTACTCCTGGAGGCGCCACCTTCCCTTCAACCTCTCCCGGTGCAGAGAGCACGCCATCAACCACCGGGCTTGCCACCACCACACGTGGGACCACTACGGATGCCGGTAGCCTGTCAGCCACTCCTGTTGATACCAGCTCACCAGTGACCGTGTCTACTCAGGCCAGTTCCTTCCCTACCACTCCTGGAGGGGCCACCATGGTTTCAACTGCTCCCTTTGGAGGAAGCACACCATCAACCACCAAGCCAGTCACCACCACACCTGAAGCCACTACTGAGGCCAGCACCTTGTCAATTTCTCCTGTGGGCACCAGTTCACCAATGACCACGTCTACTCAGGGCAGTTCCTCTCCTACTGCTACTGGAGGTGCCACCTCGCCTTCAACTTCTCCCAGTGCAGGAAGCACATCATCAATCACCAGGCTTGCCACCACCACACCTGGGGTCACTACGGAGGCCAGCACCCTGTCAACTGCTCCTGTTGACACCAGCTCACCGGTGACCATGTCTACTCAGGGCAGTTCCTTCCCTCCCACTCTTGAAGGGGCCACCACGGCTTCAACTGCTCCCTTTGGAGGAAGCACACTATCAACCACCGAGCCAGTCACCACCACTACACCTGGGGCCACTACTGAGGCCAGCACCCTGTCAACTTCTCCTGCTGGCACCAGCTCAGTGGTGACCACTTCTACTCATGCCATTTCCTCCCCTACTGCTCCTGGAGGTGTCACCATGTCTTCAGCTGCGCCCAGTGAAGGAAGCATGATATCAACAGCTGGGCCTGACACCGCCACACCTGGGGCCACTACTGAGGCCAGCACCGTGTCAACCCCTCCTGTGAGCACCAGTTCACTGGTGACCATATCTACTCAGGGCATTTCCTCCCCTACTGCTCCTGGAGGAGCCACCACATCCTCAACCGCTCCTGGTGGAGGAAGCATGCCATCCACCAATGAGCCTGCCACCAGCACACCTAGGGCCACTACTGAGGCCCGTACCCCATCAACCGCTCCTGCGGGCACCAGCTCTCTGGTGGCCACGGCTACTCAGGCCAGTTCCTCCCCTATAGGTCCTGGAGATGCCACCACGCTTTCAACGGCTGGCGGAGGAGAAAGCAGACCATCAACCACCAAGCCTGTCACCACCACACCCGGGGCCACTATGGAGGCCAGCACCTTTTCAATCGCTGCTTCAGACACCAGCTCACCTGTGATCACGTCCACTCAGGGCAGTTCCTCCCGTACCACTCCTGGAAGCACCACCACTTCCTCAACCGCTCCCAGTGGAGGAAGCACGCCATTCACCACCGGGCCTGCCACCACCACACCTGGGGCCACTACCGAGGCCAGCACCCCGTCAACCGCTCCTGCTGGTACCAGCTCTCTGGTGAGCACATCTGCTCAGGCCAGTTTCTCCCCTGCCATTCCTGGAGATGCCACCACGATTTCAACCAGTCCCAGTGGAGGAATCATGCCAGCAACCACCAGGCCTGCCACCATTACTACTGGGGCCACTACCGAGGCCAGCACCGTTTCAACCACTCCTGCTGGCACCAGCTCAGTGGTGACTACTTCTCCTCATGCCAGTTCCTCCTCTACACCTGGAGGTGTCACCATGTCGTTAACTGCACCCAGTGGAGGAAGCACAGCATCAACCCCTGGGCCTGACACCACCACACCTGGGGCCACTGTTGAGGCCAGCACCATGTCAACCACTTCTGCAGGCACCAGGTCAGTGGTTACCACGTCTACTCTGACCAGTTCCTCCCCTACGGTTTCTGGAGGGGCTACCGACCCTTCAAAAGCTCCCAGTGGAGAGAGCACGCCATCAACCAGCAAGCCTGCCACCACCACATCTGGGGATGCGACCATGACCAGCACCCCATCAACTGCTCCTGTGGGCACCAGCTCTCTGGTGGCCACCTCTACTCAGGCCAGTTCCTCCCCTATAGCTCTTGGAGATGCCACCACGCTTTCAACCGCTCCCAGCAGAGAAAGCACACCATCAACCACCGAGCCTGCCACCACCACACCTGGGGCCACTACTGAGGCCAGCACCTTGTCAGCTTCTTCTGTGGGCACCAGTTCACCAGTGACCACATCTATTCAGGGCATTTCCTCCCCTACCACTCCTGGAGCCGCCACCACATCCTCAACCACTCCTGGTGGAGGAAGCACGCCATCCACCAATGAGCCTGCCACCACCACACCTGGGGCCACTACCGAGGCCATCACCCTGTCAACTGCTCCTGCGGGCACCAGCTCTCTGGTGGCCACCTCTACTCAGGCCAGTTCCTCCCCTATAGCTCCTGGAGATGCCACCACGCTTTCAACGGCTCCCGATGGAGAAAGCAGACCATCAACCACCGAGCCTGCCACCCCCACAACTGGGGCCACTACTGAAGCCAGCACCTTGTCAATTTCTCTAGCGGGCACCAGCTCACTGGTAACCACGTCTACTCAGGCAGGTTTCTTCCCTACCACTCCTGAAGGTGCCAACACGCTTTCAAAAACTCCCGGTGGAGAGAGCACGCCATCAACCAGCAAGGCTGCCACCACCACATCTGGGGCCGCTACTGTGACCAGCACCTCGTCAGCCCCTTTTCTGGGCACCAGCTCCCTGGTGACCATGGATACCCAGGCCAGTTCATCTTCTATAAGTGTAGATGGCACCACCATGCCTATGTCTACTCTGAGTGAAGGAAGCACTCTCAGCACCGCCCATGTGACCAGTTCTGGGGCTCGCACACATTCAAGCCCTCCTGTTGACACCCGCACCTCTGTGACCACTTCTACCAAAGCCAGTTCATCTCCTACCACTCTGGAGGGCACCACCATTCCTACTACGAAGGACTTTACAACAAATGCAGTGAGTACTGCTGCTACCCTCACGTATGTGACCGTGTCTACTGCCCCCAGCACACCCAGCACAGCCAGCAGAGGCTCCACTACCTCTACATCGACTCTTTCTGCAGCCAGTACGGCTCTCACCTCTATTCCCATCATCACGCGTTCCGTGACCCCTCTGTCAGAATCCAGCGTGCCGTCAACAATACCTTCTCGCCCCGTCCCACCTGTGTTTCCTCCTGGTCACTCCAGTACACCTTCAACCACGTCTGCCTCCCCGACGCCTGTGACCACTGACGCTGTCACTACCATGACCACCAGGACACATCCCAGTACACGGATCACTTCCTCCCCCACGGTGACCACCACCACCACCGTCCCCAGGACTACTTCCACAATTAATAGCACCGCCACCTCAACTCCTGCTGTGCCAACAACCACAACACGTAAGTCATTTCTTGAGTTTTCCTTTTTGGAACTGACATTATTTTCCAGTCTCTGCTCCCTACGTTTTGTGGTTTTCTTCTTAAACGTTTTACTAAACGCCTTTTGCTCTGACTTGCTTGTTTTCTGTTTGATAAAACCTGCACCGAGGTTCTCCGTCTCAGCACTCTCTCGCTTCTCCGACCTTGCCTTGCTGTTTCTTGTACAAGTTCCACCATTTCGAACAAAGCGTTACCACTCCTTTTCTGGGCATCCCAATCTCCGGTATTCTGTCCACAAGTCCTGTTATCTCTCTTGTATTCTGCAGGTCCCTGTTCCATTGCACTTTGTCTGCTCTGATGTTATTAACTCTGCGTGGTTTGTTTATGTTTTCTTTTAAACTTGTTAGTTTACTTTGTAAACTTTCTAGTGGATTTTCTCATTGATTTTGTTCATACTAAAGTACGAACTTTTTTTTTTTTGCAGAAGGTTGTTGCCATTTTATTCATGTGCACCTGTGACAACTGTCTCTGCCACCATTCACTTTTATTTTGATTTATCTTATCCCCTGAGCACCCGCTATAGAAGCAAAAAAAGGTCCTTCACTTCTACCAGCTCTGAACTCCGCCTCCAGTGCCTACGAGCGTTATGCTGCCCTTATGTATCCCTCTCCTTTCTCTGACTCTAAAACTTTCACTCAGCTTTCTTTTCTCGTGTTAGTTTGAGATTTGCTCCATTTCTTACTTGCTATTATAATACCCTGTATATTGTATTACATGAATCACATGATGTATTAATAGACCTGTGAGTATGACTCCTAGATTAAGAATATTTTGCATGCATTTTTTTTTTTGAGACTGAGTCTTGCTCAGGCTGCAGTGCAGTGGCGTGATCTCAGCTCACTGTGACCTCTGCCTCCCGGGTTCAAGACATTTTCCTACCTCAGCCTTCTGTGTAGCTGGGACTACAGGCACCTTAGCCTGCAGCCACGCCTGGCTAAGTTTTTGTATTTTTAGTAGAGATGGAGTATCACCATGTTGGTCAGGATGGTCTTGATCTCCTAACCTTGTGATCCACCTGTCTTGGCCTCCCAAAGTGCTGGGACTACAGGCGTGAGGCACCGTGCCCGGCCCGAATGCATTTTTTAAAGCATGCTAATTAAGATATTTGGAAACACTGATTTATTTAGATGAATAGGCTCACAGATACATAATCTGCGTCTGCCCACAGAACTGCCCCATCCTGTCTTGAATTCATGACAATGAAGGATGGTTCTTCAGTTTTTGGCTGCTACAATTTCTCTGGACTTTGTGATTTCTTCCTCTGCCGAATTCTACTTTGCCTGGACTTTCTTTTCTTTCCTCCTCCTCCTTTTTCTTCTTCTTCTCTTTTGAGACAGAGTTTTACTCTTGCTGCCCCAGCTGGAGTGCAGTGTCAAGATCTCGGCTCACTGCAACCTCTGCTTCCCAGGTTCAAGCGATTCTCTCACCTCAGCCTCCTGAGTAGCTGGGATTACAGGTGCCTGCCACCACGCCCAGCTACATTTTGTATTTTTAGTAGAGATGGTGTTTCACCATGTTGGCCAGGCTGGTCTCCAACTCCTGACCTCAGGTGATCCACCTACGTTGGTTTCTCAAAGTCTGGGATTACAGGCGAGAGCCACCATGCCTGGCTGGACTTTCTATCATATGGCTTTTTTCTCTGGATGCTCTCCAATATGTCTGTCTTCTTGAGCTCTCTGATTCTCCGATGAGTGGTCTGAGCATTTTCAGGTGGGAGATCTGGACCTTGTATTTCCAGAAGGCCTCATAGGTGTCTCGACAAAGGACAGGTGGCTGCAATGCCACTGGACCCACTCTCTGGCGTCAGTCGCCTCTTTGAAGGCAGATTGTCCTCCTTCTATCTTCCTCCTCTTCCCCAGAGATCGGCCTTCCCTTTACACTGTTGAGCAATGTGTGAACACGCCCCAGCATCTGCTTCTGTTGCTTCTCACTAGTCTGTGTTTTGGCACTTAGCTCAGGTCTGGGCATCTTTAGTAATAAAAGAGAGAGAGAGACGGAGGGAGAATGAGACTGATGAAGGATGTTTGGTGCGTATGTAAGGATGTCCAGTGTGCCCAGGGCTCTTGACTTCTCTCTTCTGTTCTTTCCAAATGTCTTGGAGCAAAAGCCCTTAAACAGAGGCTGCAAGATGTGACTTCCATGAGTGTGGGTCCTGCTCTCTGAGTCTGTTTAGGGTAAGCCAGAAGGCAGAGATGAGACACGTGTTTGCAGAGTCTATACATACCTCGTGCACTTCCCCAGACAAAACATACCTTAAATACTGATCTACCCAGGCACAGCAATTTTCAAGAAAAGCCAAAGAGAACAGAGCTTTAGATTTTCCAGGTTGGGCCGTGTGTCATGGCTCAAGCCTGTAATCCCAGCACTTTGGGACGCTGAGGCGGGTGGATCACCTTGTGGTCAGGAGTTCAAGACTAGCCTGACCAACATGGAGAAACCCCATATCTACTAAAAATATAAAATTAGCTGGGTGTGGTGACGCATGCCGATAATCCCAGTTACTCTGGAGGCTGAGGCAGGAGAATCCCTTGAACCCGGAAGACAGGTTGTGGTGAGCTGAGAGCGCGCCATTGCTCTCCAGCCCAGGCAACGAGAGCAAAATTCCGTCTCAAAAAAACAAATAAAAGATTTTGCAGGTTGGCAGAGATATTTGAGAGTTGGCTTTCACTAATTCCTACCTATTTAAACCAAGAGGAGTTTATTTGTATTGCAATTTAAAAAGGAGTTGCTAGCCAGGTGCAGTGGCTCATGCCTGTAATCCCAGCACTTTGGGAGGCTGAGGCAGGTGAAAAACAAGGTCAGGAGTTTGAGACCAGCCTGACCAACATGGCAAAACCCTGCCTCCACTAAAAATACAAAAATTAGCTGGGTGTGGTGGAGCGTGCCTATAATCCCAGCTACTCAGGAGGCTGAGGTAGGAGAATCGCTTGAACCCAGGAGGCGGAGGTTGCAGTGAGCCGAGATGGCACCACTGCACTCCAGCCTGGGCGACAGAGTGAGACTGTGTCTCAAAAATAAAATAAATAAATAAAATAAAAAAAACAAAAAGGAGTTGTTAGGCTGGGCATGATGGCTCACACCTGTAATCCCAGCATTTTGTGAGGCTGAGACTGGCGGATTGGTTGAGGCCAGAAGGATTGGTTGAGACCAGCCTGGGCAACAGAGCATCACCCCATTTTTACAGAAAAATATTTAAAATTAGCCAGGCATGGTGATGCATGCCTGCAGTCCCAGTGGCTTGGGAGGCTAAGGTGGGAGGATTGCTCAAGCCCAGGAGCTCAAGGCGGTAATGAGGTACGATCGCATCACTGCACGCCAGCTTGAGTGAGACAGTAAGACTGTCTCAAAAATAAATAATATATTAAAAATAAAATAAGATCTAAACTCCTCCCTCAAACTCCACATCCCAGTAAATTAAAAAAGAATGAGAAAGAATCATAGCAGTCATGACTGACAGTACGGGCTTTTCCAAAGCGGGTGCTGAGGATCAACGACCGTCTCATTCTCAGCCCGGGTGGACTCGAGGTTGGTCACGTTCGCCTGGGTTTTCTCCTCCTCAGCCTCTCACCTCTCACAATACCGGGTTTCTCTTTCTTCATGTTTTTGGGCTGGACTAGGACTGGCTGGAGTGTCACCTGCATGTGGACCCGTGGGGAGATGGCTTAGCCTCTCTCTGCCTCACTTTGTCTGCCTGTGAAGTGAGGATAATATTAACTGTCCTGTGCACCCCAGAGTCTCACGAGAGTATCAGATTAGGCAGTGGGGGTTCACGCCTGTAATCCCAGCTCTTTGGGAGGCTGAACTGGGTGGATCACCTGAGGTCAGGAGTTCAAGATCAACCTGGCCAACATGGTGAAAACTGTCTCTACTAAAATACAAAAATTAGCTGGGTAACCCAGTGCAGGGGCTCACATCTGTAATCCCAGCACTTTGGGAGGCTGAGGTAGGCAGATCATGAGGTTAAGAGATCGAGAACAGTCTGGCCAACATGGTGAAACCCTGTGTCTCCTAAAAATACAAAACTTAGCTGAGCATGGTGGTGCTTGCCTATAATCCCAGCTACTTGGGAGGCTGAGGCAGGAGAATCACTTGAACCCCGGGAGGCAGAGGTTGCAGTCAGCTGAGATTGTGCCACTGCACTCTAGCCTGGAGACAGAGCGAGACTCCGTCTTAAAAAAAAAAAATTAGCCGGGTATGATAGTGCACCTGTAATCCCAGCTACTTAGGAGGCTGAGGCAAGAGAATCACTGGAACCCGGGAGGTGGAAGTTGCAGTGAGCCAAGATCGTGCTATTGCGCTCCAGCCTGGGCAGCAAGAGTGAAACTCGGTCTCAAAAAACAAAAACAGATGAGGCGGTGTCTGTGCAAATGCATCATAAGCTGTAAAGTGTGGTGCTCAACATGTAACCACAGTAGGTCCCTGTTCCTTTCAGAGCAATGCTTCAATGGAGGAGAGTGGAAAGAAGACGCCTGTGACTGCCCCCCTGGCTACAGAGGAGATCGGTGCCAGTACGCGGCCGTTGTCTGCATGAACGGAGGCTCCTGGGATGGGCTCAAGTGCCAGTGTCCCTCCCCCTACATTGGGGAGGTCTGTGAGGAGGTGTCCAACAGCCTTGACATAAGTAAGTGCAACCCCTGTCCCCCTCCCTGTGCCCTGGGACCCAGCCTCCACATAGGCCCTCCCCCTGTCCCCTTCCCTGTGCCCTGGAACCCAGCCTCCACATAGGCACCAGTTCCTGCCCCACCTGGATGTGAGGCCAGGAATAGGGCCTCTTCCGGGCTGTGGGTTTTTTGTTTTTTGTTTATTACCCAGTGCTAACAATGCTAGAGCATCACAAAATGAATAAAATAGGCCAGGCATGGTGGCTCTCGCCTGTAATCCCAGTGCTTTGGGAGTCTGAGGCAGGACTGCTTGAAGCCAGGAGTTCAAGATCAGCCTGGGCAACATAGTGAGATCCCATTTCTTAAAAAAAAATAAAATAAAATTGGCCGAGTGTGGTGGCTCATGCCTGTAATCCCAGCACTTTGGGAAGCCGAGGCGGGTGGATCACAAGGTCAAGAGTTCAAGACCAGCCTGGCCAACATAGTGAAAACCCCGTCTCTACTAAAAATAGAAAAATTAGCCAGGTGTGATGGCACATGTCTGCAGTCCCAGCTACTCAGGAGGCTGAGGCGGGAGAATCGCTTGAACCTGGGAGGCACAGGTTGCAGTGAGCTGAGACCACACCATTGCACTCCAGCCTGAGTGACAGAGCGAGACTCCATCTCAAAACAAACAAACAAACAAAAAAATGAGCTGGGTGTGGTGGTGCACACCTGTAGTCCAGCTGCTTGGGAGGCTGATGTGGGAGGTTGCTTGAGCCCAGGAGTTTGAGCTGCACTGAGCTATGACCTCACCACTGTACTCCAGCCTGTGCAACAGAAGAAGACCCTGGAAGGAAGGAAGGAAGGAAGGAAAGAAGGCAGGAAGGAGGGAGGGAGGGAGGCAAGGAAGGGGAAATGAATAAAACAAGAAGGTGTATTTTTGACACAAATTTGGCACAGAATTTTACCATAAAATGCAATGGAGGTCACTTCCTCCACCCAGGCTGGGGGGCAGATCTTCTGAGTGGGAGACTCAGGGATGCTCAGCTCAGTAAGTCTACCCTCCTCAGCGCCACCGGAGACAGTCTCCGCCCAAATGGAAATGACTGTGACAGTGACCAGTGTGAAGTTCACCGATGAGCTGAATGACCGTGCTTCCGAGGAATTCAAGAATTTCAACAAGACATTCACGGAAGAGGTAAGTCTGGGAGATCAAGACCCCATGGCCACTCAGTTCTCCCAGAGCAGAGTCTGTAAGGTTCAGGAGGCAGCTGGGGGCTATTTCCTTGTTAGATGTGCAGGAGTTTTCTCCGGCTCCCATGTCCTCAGGGCTTGCCAGTGGAGGAGGGAGAAGATGAGGCCAGGTCTTATCTGGGGGCTGCAGGAGGCCCTGGGCGGAGCAGGTCTCTGGAAAGGGACCACTCCATGTGGCAAGTCTGCTGTGATGCCCTGGGACAGGTCCTGTGCCCCGATGTCCCATGGAAAGGCCCCATGGGTCCTCTGGGATGACATAGTGGCCCCTTGCCTTTCAGATGAACCGTGTGTACGCCAATATCACCGAGTATGTCGGGGTGAACATCAAAAAGCTACGGTGAGTGTCTGGGCCGTGGGAAGAGGGTCTGTGGCATGGAAGCAGCAGTCATAATTATAAATAATTGGAACGGTGCCCCCTGCATGACCATGCTTGGGCAGCTCTCACAACACCACCAACGGTGTGGCTTAAGCAACAGAAATCTATTTCTCCTGGTTCTGGAGGCTGGAGGTCTGAGATCAAGGTGTGGGTGGGTGGTTTCTCTGGAGGCCTCTCTCCTTGGCTTGTGGATGGCCGCCTTCTTGCTGTGTCTTTGCACGGTCTTTCCCCTGTGCACACCTCCCTGCTGCCTCTGCATACCCAAATTTCCCCTTCTTATAAGGACACCAGGCAGACTGGATGGGGCCTACACTAATGGCTTCATTTTAACTTAATCACCTCTGTAAAGGCCCTATCTCCAAATATAGTCACCTTCTGAGCTTCTGGGGGTTAGGGCTTCAATATATCAATGTAGGTGGCACCAGGTACAGTGGCTCACATCTGTAATCCCAGCACTTTGGGAGGCCGAGGCAGAAGGATCATTTGAGGCCAGGAGTTCGAGAACAGCCTGAGCAACATAGCAAGACCTTGTCTCTATAAAAAATACCAAAATTAGCAGGGCATGGTGGTGTGCACCTGTAGACATAGCTACTCAGGAGGCTGAGGCAGGAGGATCAGCTGAGCCCAGGAGTCAGAGGCTAGAGGATGCCAGGATGGCATCACTGCACTCCAGCCTGGGCAGCAGAGCAAGACTCTGTGTCTGCAACAAAAAAACCCAAAACCTCAAGGACGGCCTCTTCTGTGGTTCCAATTCCTCCCTCCATCTCCCTCACTGAAGCTTCCCTGAGACTTCCTGGAGCCTCCCTTTCTAGAAAGTTCTCTTAGGCACAGGCTGCTGGGAGAAGTCCTGTAGCAAGGGACCCAGTGCAGTACCTGGGACAGAGCCATCACCTCAACTGTCCTGCCCCCAGCTCTGCCTTCCCTTGGGACCACAGAGGGTGAAGCCAGCTGGGCGCAGTGGCTCATGCCTGTAATCCCAGCACTTTGGGAGGCTGAGGTGGGTGGATCACCTGAGGAAAGGAGTTCAAGACCAACTCCTGAACAATACGATGAAACCCCTTCTCTACTAAAATTACAAAAATTAGCTGGGTGTGGTAGCAATTGCCTGTAGTCCCAGCTACTCGGGAGGCTGAGGCAGGAGGATCACTCGAACCTGGGAAATGGAGGTTGCAGTGAGCTGAGATTGCGCCACTGCACTCCAGCCTGGGCAACAGAGCAAGACTCTGTCTCAAAAAAAAAAAAAAAAAAAAAAAAAGAGAAAGAGGGTGAAGGCTGCCTGGGACAGGATTTGAGAGATAAGCACCCATTCTGAGCTGAGGACATCTTCCCCTCCCTCCTCAGGCATGGCAGTGTGGTGGTGGAGCATGAGGTCCTCCTAAGAACCAAGTACACGCCAGAGTTCCAGACAGCGTTGAACAATGCCAGCAAGGTCGTGAAAGAAAGAATCACAAAAGTGACTGAGGAGCAAATAATGATCAACGATAATTGCTCAGGTAAACTCCTAGGCTTCCAGGGAGGGAGGGAAAGGAGGGGGCAGCAGGGCTGGAGCGTGACTTTCTTAGTAGAGAGGAGGGCTCAGAGTGAGGATGGCTAACGGGCGGGTGCAAGAGTCACTGTGGGGTCCTGGAGTCCCTGGGGGTGCAGCTCAAGGAAGCCCCAGGATTGGGCCAAGAGAGTCTTTCACTTTTGTCTTCCTCTGGCCCATTTTGTTCCTGTGGTAGGTAGGGGAAGGGACAAAAGCAGATGGAGAGAGTAGAATGTGGAGATAGCTAGGAACTCGTCCCAGAACCTGCAAGGACACACAGAGACAGGCCAGATCATCCAGGGCACCAGGACTAAGGGGTACAGGATAGGAGAGTCTGCTGGAAATGGGGACCAATGGGTCCTGTTACACAGGGGTTCATCTAAGTGTGTGGATCATGGCAGAAGAGAGAAGAAGGTGGCATTGGGCAGCTGTGGTGGCTCACACCTGTAATCCCAGTTCTGTGGGAGGCCGAGGCAGGCAGATCACTTGAGGCCAGGAGTTTGAAACCAGCTTGGTCAACATGGTGAAACCTTGTCTCTACTAAAAATACAAAGTTAGCTGGACATGATGGTGGGTGCCTGTAGTCTCACTACTTAGGAGGCTGAGGCAGGAGAATTGCTTGAACCCAGGAAGCAGAGGTTGCAGTGAGCTGAGATCGCACCACTGCACTCTAGCCTGGGTGACAGAGCAAGACTCAGTCTTAAAAAAAAAAAAAAAAAAAAAAAGACCAAAAGGCCAAGCACGGTGTCTCACGCCTGTAATCCCAGCACTTTGGGAGGCCAAGGCAGGTGGATCACTTGAACCTGGAAGACGGAGGTTGCAGTGAACTGAAATTGCATTACTGCACTCCAGCCTGGTGACAGAGTGAGACTCCGTCTCAAAAAGAAAGAAAGAGAGAGAGAGAAAAGAAATAAAGAAAAAAGAAAGGAAGGAAGGAAAAGAGGGAGGAAGGAAAGAAAGAAAATGGAGGTTTGGGACTAAAAGGGCACAGGGGGGCTCAGGACACTTGGAGGGTCACCAGATGTGAGGCTGATGCTGGCCTCTGCAGGGGCCAGGTTCCCACCTCCCCATAGCCACCCACCCCCTACACACACACACACACACACACACACACACACACACACCCCTCAGCTCCCTGAGGATGTAGAACAAGCATGTGTGTGTCATGAGGGGCTTTCTGTGTCTCCTTCACAGCCTTGCTGTGTTACAACACCAGTGGTACCCAGGTGCAAAACATCACGATGACCCAGTACGACGCTGTAGGTAGGTGATAACACAAGGGGTTTGGGGGAAGGCTGGGGGGGGAACCCAGGAGGAGCAGGGCAGTGCCCCCCAGCCCCCTGGTCACGCTGCTCCCTGTCCCCGCACCTCCACCAGCAAAATGCCGGGAGGCGGCCGGGGCGGACTATGAAGACTACTTCCTAGTGGAATACCAGGACCAGCAACCAAAATGCATCAGCCCCTGCGAGCCCGGCTACAATGCCTCCAAGAACTGTAACTTCGGCAAGTGCCAGTTGCTTCGAAGTGGCCCCCGGTGCTAGTGAGTGCTTCCCCACCTCTTCTAGACCAGCCCAGACGTCCTCGTCCTCCCCATCCCCTGCAGGGCTTCTCCCCAGGCACTGCCTAGAGGCCAAGGCCATGGGACTAGGTCCCAGCCTCTCCTGAATGTGTCCAGCTGCAGAGGAATTGGATTGGGGGTGGGGAAAGACATGAGTAGCTGAGTTCCAAGCCTGCATCCATAACAGCCCCAGCCCTCCCCGGCGTCCTCTCTGTGCTGACAAGGGCTGAGGACTGTGACAGCCTCTGGGAAAGGTTGTCTGATGGAAGAACAGAGAGAGAGAGAGCCTTGCTTCCAGAGGGAGAATAAGATCCTCTGCTGGTGGAATAGAAACAGAAGGCCACACACCCATAGGGGGAGTGGGGAGAAGTGCTAGAGCGTAGTCACAGAGGTAGGAAAGTTCAGAAAAACACTGCCACTTGAAACAGAACCAAAGAGAGAGACCAGCTGGAGTGTCCGGTGCAGGAAGAAGCTGCATGTATGCAAAGACCTGAGTCATTAGTTTGGGAAGGCTTCCTGGAAAAGGTGGTCACAAGCTGGAAAGGGGAAGAAAGGAACAGGGCTTAGAGAAGCATCTCCATGTAGTCGGGAGGAAGAGCTTCAGGGATATAATAGAAGCTTTGGATCAGTCTGCAGCCTGGCTTTCTTGAAACAGAGGAGGATGAAAGTGAGGATGGTTAATGGGTAAGTGCAAGAGTCACTGTGGGGTCCTGGAGTCCCTGGGGAAGACCCAGGTTGGGCCAACTGTCTTAGATCCTGGGTTGCAACTGGAAGCAAAACCTAAAAGCCTGGAGTGGGAATTGAGCTCATTTGAGGACCAGCTCCAGGGATGCTGGTCTTCATCTACGTTCATCCCCGCAGGATGCCTTGCTTAGGCCCCCTGCCAATCTCTTCTCACCTCCTCCTCATTAAACACCCAAGGGGCAGGGCCCAGGTCTGAAGCTGCTGCTGACTCTGTTCTCTCTCCCGCACTGTCCCTTCTCTCCATCTCAGCTGCTTGACCACGGAAACTCACTGGTACAGAGGGGAAGACTGTGACCAGGGCATCCAGAAGAGTCTGGTGTACTGGCTTGTGGGGGCAGGGTGCGTGCTGGTGCTGATCATCCTGATAGCTCTCCTGATACTCACTTTCCACTCCAAGAGAGAGGTGAAACGGTGAGTGAGCCCCTACCACCTCCTCTTCCAGCTCCCTCCAGCTCCTCCTCCTCCTCTGATCCCTCTGCCTCTAATCACTTCATCCTGGAGGTGGACAGTGGGGAAGCTAAAAACGGGGATACAGCTTGTCCCTGGTCCTTGTTCCTGTTCTCCAACGCTAACAGGGTCTCTCTGGTGTTTCCACCCATAGGCAAAAGTCCAAATTGTCTCAGTTGTACAAGTGGCAAGAAGAGAAAGGTGGACCAGCTCCTGGGGCATTCCAAAACATTGGCTTTGACATCTCCCAAGGTATTGGCCTTCCTCTCTGAACTCAATGGCTCAAAATGTGGAAACAGGCTGAGTGTAATGGGTTCACGCCTGTAATCCCAGCACTTTGAGAGGCCAAGGCAGGAGGATTGCTTGAGGCGAGCAGCTTGAGATCACCCTGGGCAACAACACAGCAAAACCCTATCTCTTAAAAAAAAAAAAAAAAAAAAAAAAAAAAAAAAAAAAAAAGAGGCTGAGGCAGGTAGATCACTTGAGGTCAGGATGAGACCAGCCTGGACCACATGGTGAAACCCTGTCTCTACTAAAATTACAAAAAAATTAGCTGGGTGCGGTGGCAGGCACCTGCAATCCCAGCTATTCAGGAGGCTGAGGCAGGAGAATTGCTGGAACCCGGGAGGTAGAGGCTGCAGTGAGCTGAAACTCCAGCCTGGGTGATGGAGCAAGATTCTGTCTCACAAGAAGAAGGAGAAGGAGAAAAAGAAAATATAGGACAGATAGAAAACACAAAATAAAATGATAGGAAGTAATGCAAATGTATCATGAATCATAATACATATAAGTAGATTAAACTTTAGTTAAAAAAGGAATTTTAAAAAAATTCTAGGTATCTGCTGTGGATGAGAGGCACATGTGAAATAGAAACACAAAGCTTGGAAACAAAAGTGTGGAAAATACAAAACAGGGTAATAGTAAACAAAGTATCTGTTGTTTTGTGTATAGCTGTACTCATTGCAAGTACATGATCTTTAGAGCAAAAAGAATTACTAGAGATAAAAAATGTTCAATATTATGAAATGGCTTATTCTGTTAGACACAAGTCTAATTTGTATGCTCAATTAGTACAATCTCCCATATCTTTGGAAATTTTTTAAAGTTTCTAAATAATGTATGGATCAGATAAGAGATTATAGTTAAAGTGAGAAAATACTTAGTATCAAGACTTGTGGGATGCAGCTATAGCTGTACTCAGAAGGAAATTCATAGCCTTAATATGCCTGTATTAGAAAGCTGTTGTCAGTTAATGTTGATAGTTTGTCACATTTTCAATAGTTTTCAGTTTCCTAGGGGTGGGAACAAACGCCCTTATCCTCCGTTGAATGGGATGAAAGGGGAAGATGAAAGTTTGTCCTTCTAACCTCCTATTTCCATGGGGTTTTTCATCTCTCTAGAAGAAAATGATTCCATCCACCTGGACTCCATCTACAGTAATTTCCATCCCTCCCTGGGCCACGTAGACCCTGAAACGAAGGTAAAAAGGGTCTGGGTGGGATGCTGGCCTCTCCCGACCTTGCGACTTTCTTCTCCTTTCCTACATGTCTCCCGACCTTCAGGGAAACAAAGCCATGTTTACAGTTTATGGGTCCAGGTAATCCTCCCAGGTCCATTCTGCCAGGAAACAAGCCAGGAAACAAGTTATTTCAATTTGTAAACACACATAAAAGTCAAAATAGTAGTGCAGTAAATACTTACATATATTCCATCTAGCGCCACAAGACTTAACATGTCATATGTTTCTTTCTTTGTATTGATCTCTTTACTAATTTTTGCTGAGTAATTTGGAAGTCAGCTGCCAACATTATGACACTTGATCCCTAACCATTTCAGCACACACTTCCTAACACCATGATTATATGCAATACATTGATAATAACTGCACAATATCATATGATAGCCAGTTTTCCCAATTAGCCCAAAGACATCTTTTATTACTAGTTTTTATTTTTCTCAGAAGTGGATACAACAGATTTCAAGTACTGGCTTCTGTTATGTCTCTTTGGTATTTTGAATTTAGAATGGACTCCTACATTTTTAAATAGATTGATTTTTTAAGAGTCTAGAGGCCGGGCGTGGTGGCTCACCCCTGTAATCTAAGCACTTTGGAGGCCAAGGCAGGTGGATCACCTGAGGTCGGGAGTTCAAGACCAGCCTGACCAACATGGTGAAAACCAGTCTTAAAAAAAAGAGTCTAGGATAGCTGTCTCGAAAAATGTCTCAGCTGGGCTCTGTGGCTCATGCTTGTAATCCCAGCACTTTGGGAGGCTGAGGTGGGCAGATCATGAGGTCAGGAGTTTGAGACCAGCCTGGCCAACAAAGTGAAAATCTGTCTCTACTAAAAATACAAAAAGTAGCTGGGCATGATGGTACACACCTATAGTCCCAGCTACTCAGGAGGCTAATGCAGGAGAATCGCTTGAACCTAGGAGGCAGAGGTTGTGGTGAGCCGAGATGGTGCCACTGCACTCCAGCCTGGGCAACAGAGGGAGACTCTGTCTTCAAAAAAAAAAAAAAAAAAAAAAAGTCTCACACTCCTGGTTTGTTTTGTGGTGTCATCTAACTTGTCCCCCATCGTTAATATCAGAGGTATTAGCAGTATTCTAGTTTTGGAAATACCGGAGGTTGGGTCTAGAGGTTTAACTGAAGTCAGATTAAACATTTTTGTTATGACATAGATAATGCTATTGCCTCACTTCAACAAGTATGTAACATCAGGTTGTCCCCCCCATGATTAAGGCCAAGATTGGTCACATGGGTAAAAGGTGACCACTCCTTGATGATCACTGCCTTAATATTATTTAAACTGGATGGATATTTGAGGGGAGGAGAAATACCAGGTGTGAACGGCTTCGGGTGCTATGCTCCCTTGACACAGCCCTTTGGGGCAAAGATGAAATCTCCAGCCAAGATACCTGCAAACCTACCTGGCAGGGAGGGGAAGACAAAATTGGTTTGTGCTAGAATCCAGGTCATAGGATGAGTTCTAAACCAACCACTTAGGTCAGATGCAGTGGCTCATGCCTGTAATCCCAGTACTTTGGGAGGCCAGGGCAGGAAAATCACTTGAAGTCAGGAGTTTGGGACCAGCCTGAGCAACAAAGTGAGACTCTGTCTCTCTATATAAAAATAATAATAATGGCCAGGCACAGTAGCTCCCAGCACTTTTGGTGGTCAAGATGGATGGATCGTTTGAGCCCAGGAGTTTGAGACTACCCTGGGTAACATGGTGAAACCTCATCTCCACAAAAAATTTAAAAATTATCCAGATGTGGTGGTGTGCACATGCAGTCCCAGCTACTGGGGAGGCTGAGCTGGGAGGATCATTTGAGCCCAGAAGTTAGAGGCTGCAGTGAGCCATGATTGTGCCACTGCACTCCAGCCTGGATGGGAGTAAGACCATGTCTCAAAAAAATAAAAAAAATTAAAAATAATTAAACCAAACACTTCCCATCCCAAGCCTTTTTATGCTTCCAAAATCCCAAATTCCTCAGGAGCCAAGCCCTCAACTGGTTTTATCTCTCTTTTCAGATCCAAATTCAGAGGCCTCAGATGACGATGACATCACTTTAAGGCATGAAGCTGAGAAGTCCGGGAGTGAGGATATTGCAGTCCCGCTAAGCTTGGTGGAACATTTGCCCATAAAGGGACTTCCATGGGAACTCAATTGAAACAAGCCCTGTACTTATTAAGGAGAAAGAGGAGAGAGACAGCAGTGGTGGGAGATTCTTAAACAGAAAACCATGGAAGCTCCAATGGGCTTGTCATGATATCAGGCTAGGCTCTCATGCTCATTTTTCAAAGAGGTTCCAGATTTGAGGGTGATACGGCTGTAACATAGGTCACCCCATTGATCGCCAGTATTGATTTGGCTGATCTGGCCGGGTAGATAGGCGTCCCCTTCCTTCCTCGCTGCTCCATTTTTGTCCGTCCTAAAGCTGCATGCTCAGTTGGAGAGGATGAGAGGACGACCCTCTCTGATAGAGGAGGACGATTCTTCTGTCAAAGGCATACAGATATCTGGACTTCCCTGCTAGAACTTCCAAACAAGCTCAGAGAAGTCCCCCGCTCGCGTCTGCACGGGTTCAGCACCACGGACAGCGCCCTCGTCTCGCTGTTCACAACCGTGACCCCTTCGACACTGGACTGCGTTTTACATTTCAAAAAATACTCTCGTAAGAATTACTGCATACCGTCTCATGAAAAAAACCTATGTTTAAATATATAGCATTTGCCTTTAGTATATAAGGGTATAGGTATTTTTTTAAGTTCTTATTTTTATGAGTTCTGATTTTTCCTTAGTAAATGTTATACTATATATTTGTAGAAGCTAAAAATAATAAATCAACTTTATTATAATTTTCATGGTTTCCAGAGTCTTTTCCTCCTGTTTCCCATAGCTTCTGTTTCTATCCTACCAGACTCTCTCCTCCTCTCCTCCAGAACGTCAAGTCTGATGTGCTTGGGCTTCCAGATAACAAGAGGGAGAATTGCCGTGGAATGAAGACTATTTCCTGAACTCCACTCACTGGCACCATTTGCTGGTGTCCAAGAGGCAAGGCAGACATACACACACACACACACACACACACACACACACACACACGAGAGGCAGGGACTCACTTTCTACCAAAGAAAACCACATTTTCCAGCCGGATGTGGTGGCTCACATCTGTAATCCCAGCACTTTGGGAGGCTCAAGTGGGCGGATCACCCGAGGTCAGGAGTTCGAGACCAGTCTGGCCAACATGGAAAAACCCCGTCTCTACCAAAAATACAAAATTAGCTGGGTGTGGTGGCACATACCTGTAATCTCAGCTACTCGGGAGGTTGAGGCAGGAGAATTGCTTGAACACAGGAGGTGGAGGTTGCAGTGAGCCAAGATTGTGCCACTGCCCTCCAGCCTGGGCAACAAGGGCAAAACTCCGTCTCAAAGAAAAAGAAAAAGAAAACCAAGTTTTCCAAGCTCTCCTTCTGAAAACCGGCTATTTCTTTCCATGCATCTAAGGACACCTGTTCCATTTCCAGCTTTCTCGTGAACTACTTAGGTTAAATCTGGGAAAAATCTATTTGGACTCAGTCTTGCCTTCTGCTGAGTAAGGACTAGGTTGTTTCTAAAGCCTCTTTCATCGCTGTCCTTCTTAATATTCCTAGGATGCTTTTTAAAAATTATTATTATTCCAGCCATGCCGCTCAGGATTCATTGTATTCTTGAAGGTCCCACCCGCTTCAAAACCTAACCTGAGACAGAGCCTGGACTCTGCTTCCCTCTACTGGACGCTCTGAGCACCTGCAGGCACCATGCAGCTTCTCAGCCATCCCCTCCTAGCCTCCCGTGAGAAACATCCGTTACACTTGACACTTGATTATGTCCATATTTGCCATCAAAATCCTGCTTCTTTTCTTTTCTTTTTTTTTTTTGAGACAAAGTCTAACTCTTTCATCAAGGCTAGAGCACAGTGGTGTAATCATTGCTCACTGCAGCCTTGAGCTCCTGGGCTCAAGAATTCCTCTTGCCTCAGCCTCCCAAGTAGCTGGGACTTCAGGTCCCCACCACCACACCCGGCTACTTTTTAAACTTTTTGTAGAGACAGGGTTTCACTGTGTTGTCCAGGCTGGTCTTGAATTCCTAGGCTCAAACGATCCATCCACTTCTGTCTCCCAAAATACTGGATTCCCGGCGTGAGCCACTATGCCCAAGCCTTTTTTTCTTCTTTCTTTTGAAAATTTGCAAACCTACAGGAAGTTAAAACAATAAGGTTAAAAAAGTGAACTCTAGCTGGGTGTGGTGGCTCATGCCTGTAATTCCAGCACTTTGGGAGGCTGAGGCAGGTGGATCACCCACGGTCAGGAATTCAGGACCAGCCTGGCCAATGGTAGAACCCTAACTCTACTAAAAATACAAAAATTAGCCGGGTGTGGTGGCATGTGCCTATAATCCTAGCTACCCAGGAGGCTGAGGCAGACGAATCTCTTGAATCCGGGAGGCAGAGGTTGCAGTGAGCCAAGATCGCACCTCTGTACTCCAGCCTGGGTGACAGAGAGAGATTCCATATAAAAAAGGATTGCATGCATATATTTATATGTAACAGCGAATGCCCTATAACCCTCACCTGGAGTTATCGTTAACATTGTGTCCTATTTGCTCTAAAGTGGTATGTACTTTCGAATTTAGCAAAATTGAAAATTAAAAATTAGAAAAGTTTCAAATAAAAAATTACCACTAACCTGACTTTTAAAAAAGTTTAGACTCAAGGGATACAATATACAAAGGTGTATCATATAGTGCTGAGGGGAATAAAACCATCACACAGGAAGCGAGCATAGTAACCAATAGGTAGTCTTTCTTTCTTTCTTTCTCTCTTTCTTTCTTTCTTTCTTTCTTTCTTTCTTTCTTTCTTTCTTTCTTTTTCTTTCTTTCTTTCTTTCCTCCTCTCTCTCTCTCTCTCTCTCTCTCTCTCTCTCTCTCTCTCTCTCTCTTTCTTTCTTTTTTTTTGAGGCTGAGTCTCGCTGTCACCCAGGCTGGAGTGCAGTGGCACAATCTCGGCTCACTGCAACCTCCACCTCCCAGGCTCAAGCAATTCTCCTGCCTCAGCCTCCTTAGTAGCTGGGAATACAGTGCACCACCACACCTGGTTAATTTTTATATTTTTAGTAGAGACGGGGTTTTGCCATGTTAGCTAGGCTGGTCTCCAACTCCTGACTTCAAGTGATCCTCCTGCTTTGGCTTCCCAAAGTGCTGGGATTACAGGCATGAGCCACCATGCCTGGCCCCAATAGGTGTTTTTCCAACTCTTGCCCCCTCCCTCCCTCTCTGCTTTTGGAGTCCCCAGTGTCAACTGTTTCCATATTTATGTTGATGTGCACTCAAAGTTTAGCTCCCACTTATAAGTGAGAACATGTGGTATTTGGTTTTCTGTCTTTGTGTTCATTCATTTAGGATAATGGCCTCTAGCTGCATCCACACGGCTGCAAAGAACATGATTTTTTTTTTTTTGAGATGGAGTCTTGCTCTCTCACCCATGCTGGAGTGCAGTGGTGCAATCTCGGCTCACTGCAACCTCTGCCTCCCAGATTCAAGCGATTCTCCTGCCTCAGCCTCTGAGTAGCTGGGACTACAGGTGTGCACCACCATGCCTAATTTTTTTATTTTTAGTAGAGATGGGGTTTCACTATACAGGCCAGGATGGTCTTGATTTCTTGACCTCATGATCCCCCTGTCTCAGCCTCCCAAAGTGCTGGGATTCCAGGCCTGAGCCACCGCACCTGGCTGATTTCATTCTTTTTTATGGCTGCATGGTATTCCACGGTGTACATGTACCACATTTTCTTTATCCAATCCACCACTGATGAGTACCTAGGTTGATTCCATGTCTTTGTTGTTGTGAATAGTGCTGCAATAAACATACAAGTGCAGGTGTCTTGGGGGTAGAATAATTCATTTTTCTTTGAGTACATACCCAGTAATGAACAATCCTCAGTTTCCAAAACTGAGCTGAATTCATACACCTTCGCTTTCAGACCTGCCTCCTGCCCCTGTAGGTCTGGTCATCTGTGGCCATGGGAGGGGGCATTTAACAGGGCTTCGGACCCACATCCCTTCTGGAACCGAAATCTCAGCACTTTCCCACTCTCCATCCCATCTCTGCAACGGAGAGGCGGGACAGAGCAGCCAGACCAATGGGCTGCCCAGGTCCACTCTTGCTGAGCCATTGACTACCTGCGTGAGCTTGGGGAGTAACTTCTCTCTGAACCTCTGCTCTCTCAGCTGTAAAAAAACCAAGTGTCCACCTACCATGTGCAAAACGCCTTTCATCATTCCCTGTCTACCCATGAGGGCAACGGAGGCAGACATCCCAGCAACTTGCTCAAGATCATGCAACCAATGGGTATGAAGCTGGGATCAGAAAATAGGGCAGGGCCAGGCGCAGGAACGCACGCCTGCAATCCCAGCACTTTGGGAGGCTGAGGTCAGTGATCACCTGAGGCAAGGAGTTCAAGACCAGCCTGGTCAACATGGTGAAACCCCATTTCTACTAAAAATACAAAAATTAGCCGGGCGTGGTGTGGGTGCCTTTAATCCCAACTACTGAGGAGGCTGAGGAAGCCTGTATTGTTTTTGTTTTGTTTTTTGAGACAGGGTCTTGCTCCATTGCCCAGGCTGGCATGCAGTGGTGCGATCACGGCTCACCGCTGCCTCAGACTTCTGGGCTCAGGCAATCCTCTTGCCTCCGCCTCCTAAGTAGCTGCAGGTAGTTTTTCAACCCTTGCCCCCTCCTCCTCTCTCTGCTTTTGGAGTTCCCAGTGTCAACTGTTCCCATATTTATGTCCATGTGCACTCAATGTTTAGCTCCCACTTACAAGTGAGAACATGTGGTATTTGGGCACTGCCATGCTTAGCTAATTTTTAACATTTTAAAAATAGAGGCAGGGGTCTTGCTATGTTGCCCAGGCTGGTCTCGAACTCCTGACTTCAGACAATCCTACCACCTCGGCCTCCCAAAAGTTCTGGGATTATAGGTGTGAGCCACAATACCCGGCTCTAGTCTGTGTTCTTAGCCATCACTTACTTGCCCTCCCTGTGGGATCACTCTTGGGATAAACTGGGCTAACACAGGTAAAATACTTGGAACCAACTGAGGCATATAAAAAGTTTTAAAAGAGAGAAAGTAGGAGAGAGAAAACGAGCTACTGCTACATCAGCTTCTCCTTCGCAATTCTCTCTGCAGTTTTTCCCTCTTAAGTTTCTTCTGTCTCTTCCTCCAGCCATAGAAGGGTGATGGCTGGACTTGAAGCAAGACAGAAGGCTGGTCCTGTCACTTTGCAGAAACCAGGAAACCCAAATGCATAGAGATGCAAAGAGATGGTTGGAGGCAGATACACCAAGTCACAGAGAGAGGGGTCTGGTGGGGGGTTGATACGGTTTGGAAGTGTATCCCTTCCAAATCTCATGTTGAATTTTTTTTTTTTTTTTTTTTTTTTTTTTTTTTTTTTTTTTTTTTTAAGTAGAGACAGTGTTTCTCCATGTTGGTCAGGCTGGTCTCGAACTCCCGACCTCAGGTGATCTGCCCACCTTGGTTTCCCAAAGTGCTGGGATTACAGGCGTGAGCTACTGTGCCTGGCTAATGTTGAAATGTTATCGCCAGTGGGAGCTAGTGGCACCGGGTCACGGGGGCAAATCCCTCATGAATGGCTCAGCATCATCCCCTTGGAAATGAATGAGTTCTGACTCAGTTCATGGGAGACCTGCTTGTTTAAAAGAGTTTAGGCCAAAGTGGCACATGCCTGTAACCCAGCACTTCGGGAGGCCAAGACGGGAGAAACGATTGAGTCCAGGAGTTTGAAACCATTGTGGACAACATA